TTTAGCCTTGCTGTGGCCTTTAAAAGGCGCGTTTAAGCTGTGATATATATATATATGATATGTTGGGAGGTCATGTGATCACTCGGTAGTGAAGACTTACTGTAAAATTTCTAGTTTTGAATCAAGACTACAGTTTGATTGAAGTTAAAAGTCACAGACTGGGCATGTGCAGCCCAGGGTGCTTTCTACAAGCGCTGGAGGTTGGACATCTCCGTGTGCTCAGAAAAAGTGAGGACATCATTGCAATTTTTCAAAACGCCTAAACATCATGTACTGACATTAACTCAATTAGTTATCCATTCAAACAATATGCCTACTTGTATATGTCAGTGGACAGCTCTCATCATCTGGTCTGGGAGGTGATCCGGTCCCAAAGTCAGCGAGTCGGACGGAGAAATTCTGGTCCATTGCTCAGAAGCGGCAACGGGGCCTGGTGGTGGTCTTAGAAGACCCAGACAGGCCTGGAAATTGTGGTCATCGCGTTTGCAAGTCACAAAAAACATATGTTGCATGTGACATGAAAAGCAGTGTACAGCAAACACATTTTGTGCGTGGGACCCACATGTACTCTTGAAAGAAAAATCTTCAAAGTTCAAGGCAGGCATTTTTCTGCGTGAAGGACATGTGTGTGAAAGAGAGGTTGGATGCTGCTGCCATTCTTCGCGGCTGCGATGCCTTTGGGGTGGCTTCAAGGCACTTTCAGACCTTTTGAGCAAACTCTTTCAGCAATTCATGTATATAGTAACAAGAAGCTGCTAGGAACAAGTGCATCGCTTCTAGTAACAAGTGCCTTACTAGTAGTAGCAAGAAGCTACTAGGAACAAGACTTAGTAATTAGAATGAGAGAAGACCTCTTCATGAGGTCTGACAGAACCTGATTTCTTCCAAGGTAGCAGAGGTTCACTTCATCTTCGAGTCAACCAAGTTCTTCGACCCTTTGGCCAATCGCCAAGTGATGAAGTCAGAAGGCTCGAACCTCTGGGTTTGCTCCCGCGTCTTTTACAAGGCCAGTCACATGCAGCTGCTTTGGTCTTTTGGAAGCTGCTTTCCTTTGTGGAGTTTTCATTGGGTTATGAGAGGCCTTCTCAACGGCAAGTGTCAAAGGTGTTGCAAGCTTGACGACTAATTTTAGTTGCTGCCACTTTGGGTTGTATGTCGTGTCTCGAGGCAAGAGACTGTTTACAGCATCTCAATGAGCGTGGCTTCACACCTGTGCTGCTGAATCCTGATCCGCGGCAACCTGCAGAAATGGCCCTCCAGAGTGACCTGGGTCAAGAGCAAAAGGCGCAGCGGTGCAACCAGAGTCTGCGTGATTCGCATGTCACGACGAGCATTTTCACCGACGCAAACAGCGGAAGATGCCAGTCTCCAATCTTTTCATGGCTTCGCTGTGTGCAATGTGCAACCCTGTCGTTCCTTCCAAGACTTATCATGCCTGTGTTTTGTGCACTCCTTCCAATTCCAGGTCCATTTTTCTGCATTTTGCGTTGTTGTCCTGTCCAGTTGGCGCTATGGCTTTGCTCACCGAGCACCGCAAGCACCGCTGGCGAGCTTCTAAGTGGCGCTTGCAGCATTGGCCTTCCTGGCGCTGGAGAAGCGATGGCCGTGTCGAATTTCGTTTCAGTGATCCTGGCAGAGGTCGTGCGGCAAAGGAGCTTTCAATTGAACACTTGAATTAGTTTGATATTTGGCTTCGATAATTGGGAAAGGAAGACTCTAAGGCGCAACAACTTGTTCTGATCAGTGTCTTTGTATTTCTGAGCAGGGTAGGCGGTGCTAGTATGAAAGAGACGGATGTGAGTCGAAGGAAATATTTTGCACGCACCCAGAATGGTCTGCATGCTGATGCTTGGTCCATGCATTGTTGTGCTTGGAATTTCTTTGCCTCTCTCGGCTCTAAGGAAATTCGAGACTTTTGCTTTGTTGTTTCAGCTTTTTGGTACGGATGTTTACCATCCAGTCAGAGAAGAGCCACTGTGGAATCTTTATATAGTCTGATGCTGGGTTGCCAGGCAGTAATTATGGCATTTCCTGGTTTCAGACAATGAGATGAAATGCCAGGAGCAAGTGTCCTGCGAGCCACTGGCGCTTGACTCCTGAAGAGCAGCTATCCTATGTGAACTGGTGCACAGCGGCACAGGTCTTAGAGGTGATAGCCACATGTAGCAACTCATGATGATTGTTAGACCCAACATAATCGCTCTTCCTTTTTTGCGGCTCGTCTTCTGGCGCCCAGGTGCATGCCAAGCGGCACCCGAGTGTGCAACAGCCACAACTTCAGGAGTCCATGAGCCCCGAATACCAGCGCATGGGCTGCCTGAGGGCTGAGCTGGCCAGACAAGGATGGTGAAAACAGCTGGACAAATCCGATAGACCGCTCGACCGCTCGACCACTCGCTATGTGCGGCGGTACCTGAGGTTTTGGCAATGGCAATAGACTACTGTAGATGAAAGCTCACTTTTGGGGAATTCAAAGCACGAAACAATGCTTGATCCATGTCTAATACACCGGCTAGATTCCTGCGGACATCGACTCCGTCTCTAATCACCTTAGTTAAGCTCTGGCGGTCTGCACGAATCTGTTGAATACCTGGCTTCACATATCTTGACGGGGGATCGTTTCGAAGGTGCTGGAACAACTCTTGAAGATATGGTTCGTGAGCCTCCCACAACATGATGTCTGCAAATGCTAGTGCCACTCCACGACGTCGCAGTGCCTCATGTACTTGAAGGTCATTGTGTGTGGCCTGATCAGGTTTGTCCTTTGACTCCTTCACCAAACACTTCTCAGAGTCGATGCTCAATTGCTTTGCACTCTTTCCATGCATGATCTCCCACTCACGAGACATGCATTTCTCTGGACTGAAGCACTTCAATTGTGGTGCTTCCCACATCTGTGCTGCACGGTCGAGCAAGTCAGCTGGTTCAAGCTTTCTCTGAATCAAAGCACCGGACAAACGACTCTTCAAGGCCTCCATCCGGGCCTCTCGCTCGACTTGAACTTTCCTACTAGCAGCTTCAGGGTGAGAGATCTGGCCCCTAAACTGACTCAACACGAAGGTGTGCGCTTCAAAAAGTAACCTCTTGAGAGTGGCATTGTCTCCTATCGAGGCCATTGCCCCAAGTGTTGAAGTCGCAAAACGATCGAAGGTCTCATCGGGAGTCGGTGTTCCCGGTTTCCCGCAGGCGAAGGCTGCCAGCCTCCGTTATCCTCCTCGTGAAGTACGCTTCTGACTCCACCAAATTCGTCATGGCTCGAACTCAAGTATGCCAAAATGCGGATGAGGTCTCAAAACAAAAGAGAGAAACTTACATGGAATGAGAGTAGCTGAACAAAACAAAAGGTTAGCACCTGCCTTGGGATTGAGGGTTGAAAGGACACAACCATTCAAGACGTAGTTACAGGAGAAAGGTCGCGACGATTCCCGACAGGTAGATGTTTTTTGTCGAGTTCAACCATCTGCACAATGTTTTGACATTCGCCGCTCATACATTGAGCCATGATGCCTTTCAGACTGCATTTACATAGTTCAAAAGCAAGTGACCAAGTGTCACTGGCTACCACATGTGGCTGATGCATTTCACAATGCATTCACACAAAGCTCACTTAATCTTGCTGACACATGCATCAGCTTATCCTTTTCTACGCTCAAGACCCACTTGATGGAAAAAGGGTCATGCATATCAGGCCTACAATGCCTTCAAGTTGACGCTTTGGGACAGATGTATCTGATACGGTACGTCTGTTTCTTATCCCCTGCGATGCCAGAAATGCTGGGCAGGCTGGGGTGCATCATCCACATCCTGGCTTACAGATGGCTCACAAATTCTTTGGGCACCTATTGTTCTTGTAACAAGTCCGGCACTTCTTTGTTCAGTCCCTAATCACCACCACGATCTCAAAACGAGAGTCAATTGTCCTTCCACATTTGGTCAGATGACCGTTCATGATCTCCCATTGAGCATCGGATGCAATACCTGGACAGCAGTGCACGATCTTCGACTGTTTGTTTCTTAGGAGGATGTCCATGGCTCCGACTTGTTTTGGCAATTCATTTGCATTTGCCCAATTTGTTTCTTGTTCCTCATTTGACGACTTTTTCGGAGCCTGAACTTGAGGTGCTCGATTCGGACGTAGTTGAGATTTCGATGACTGTCCTTGGTGTCACAGGTACAGCGTGTGGCCACTCGGTGTCCTCCTTCACGGGCTGTTCCTGAGTTACTACGTCGCCTGGGTTGGCGGTTTGATGAAACAATGCAGGAGTGCGTGGCTGACACGTACATAGCATGGGCGTTGCGGGCACAAGGCGCCTGTAAAACTGTTGCATCAGGAAAGAACACTCCATCCTTGATCAAACGAATCACTCTCTCCAATGCTCTCACAGCATACGCCAGGTCCCGACTGTAGACGGCGGCGATGTTCAAGGGGATCTCCACCTTTGAAAGTGTCGTCGCCTTCAACGAATGGCTTCTGAGTTGTTTGTCATCCACACCCAACAAAGCCCTGAGCCAATTGGTCACCTCCGTGCTGGTCACGGGTCGCTTGGACCACCCCAATTCTTTCGTGCCTGATGGGGTTGGCAGCAGTGGTCCTTCAACTGTGCCAGACACCGGCAGGCCTGCTTCCTTCCTGTTCTGGATCCAAAGAAACAGCCACGACGGGTCTTTGACACCTTCCGATGAAATCACATTTGGAAGCAACAACGCCTTCTTCTCAGCTGTTCATACCGACCTTGTGAATTTGTAATTATCGTACAACACCTCTTCAACAAGTCTGACTTGTGTGCTGACGCATACAGCGCCATCAATGAGTGTGAAGCGAACACCCTGTCAACTTCCTGCAAGCTCTCGTGCATACTTCCAACCGTTCGATTCACTGAACGGGATGCAGTCGTCAAAGCGTTTGCACTAGTAACAAGTGCCACGCTAGTAGTAACAGGTGCCTAACTAGTAGTAACAAGAAGCTACTAGTAATAAGTGCCGAACTGTGTTGGGTGATTTGGTGCCCACGGACTTCATGCTCAAGTCTGCATCATCCGGCTCAGACATGATTTGGCGACCAGCCATGCTGGCTTCAGGATCAATGCTCAGAAAGAACTGCAGTTTCGTTGAAGCTCTTTGAAACGTTTTGTCCATTTGTTCGAAACATGTTTGTTCCTTGAGATGATTGAGGCTCTGGCTCACGGTCCATGTGCACAATGCCGGACGTCCTGACAAGTCCTCCACGCTGTCAACGTTTACACTGTCTTGTAGCGTCCTTGCTCCTAGTAGCGATGCCCTTTGCTCCTAGTAGCAAGAATGCTCCTAGTAGTAAGGCCAGGAGCCCCTAGTAGCGTCCTGTCTTGAATAATAGAGTCTCCAAGAATTGTCCTTGCAAAAGGAGTTTCCCATGGGAATTGCAATCAAAAGGTTGATCCTGACAAAACAGCAGTTTGCAACAATGCCTCGATATCCGAGTCCTTCACGTCCGGCGGTTCAGCTTGTGTCTGAGGAAACTGCTCCGTGTCAGTAAAGAAACGATGCTAGTAATTACAAGTGCCTCGCTAGTAGTAACAAGTGCCTTACTAGTAGTAACAAGAGCTATTAGAATTGAAGTGAAATTAAAAGCTTCTTGTTACTACTGGTAAGGAAATCGACCCTCTGAGGCTCTGAGGCAGGCGGGATGAAAAACTGGGCGGATGAACTTGTGGCTGACTCACAGGAGACGATGTTCCGAAAAGCTGACATTCTGACAAATGACATTCATTGTCCAAAGAAATCTCACCATCTTCTAGATCAATAGGTTCATCAGCTTTAACCAGTCTTTGTCTTCTTGTCTCTCCACTTGGCTCTCAAACCTCGATGCTCTTCTTCTGAGCCCACGGCATTCTACCCGCGTCCGCAAAGTGAAGTTAAAACAAAGACATTGTCAAGGTTAATTGTGATGACATGTCAGGATTGCACATGACAAGAGATTTTTGTTAAATTTTGCTGAAGCCAACATTTTCTCGATCATGAAATAACAACACTATCACTAGTGACCGCTACAATAATTGAATACAATTGACAATCTGCAATATTTACTGTATGGCCAAATTGCAGCCACTGGCTTGGTTCAAATCTGCTGTGAAGTGTGGTTGTATGTACATTTAGTGCCATGTACCTGAAGACCGTGTTGCAGGCTGGAACTGTTGGAAGGGCTAGATCTTGCGCCTTATTTCTTTGTTTGTGTGGAAGAGGCCGTTAGGACCTGTCTTTGGTAGCATCACTGCGTGATGTAGTGTATATGCTTAGGATGTATCATATAGTATGTATTTCGCCACCTGTCAGGTGAGGGTTGTTAGATTTTATGTCAGCTCGTGCCCTCCTCCTCCTCCTGCTCCTCCTCGTCCTTCTCAACCTCCGCGTCGTCCTCAACCGCGAGCCTCGGCTGGTAGTGTTCCCGGCCGGACCTAAACTGCGAGGGTCGCGTGGCAGTGTTCCCCGCCGGACCTCAACAATCACAAACACACAGCCACAAACACACAACCACAAACACAACCACAACACACAACCACGAAGACACATGTACAGCACACAACCACACCACACAACGACAAAGACACATGTACAGCACACAACCACAGCACAACCACAACACACAACCACAAAGACGCATGTACAGCACACAACCACAGCACACAACCGCAAACACAACCGCAACACACAACCACAAAGACACATGTACAGCACACAACCACACCACACAACGACAAAGACACATGTACAGCACACAACCACAGCACAACCACAACACACAACCACAAAGACACATGTACAGCACACAACCACAGCACACAACCGCAAACACAACCACAACACACAACCACAAAGACACATGTACAGCACACGACCACACCACACAACGACAAAGACACATGTACAGCACACAACCACAGCACAACCACAACACACAACCACAAAGTCACATGTAAAGCACACAACCACAAACACAACCACAACACACAATCACAAAGACACATGTACAGCACACAACCACACCACACAACGACAAAGACACATGTACAGCTCACAACCACAGCACAACCACAACACACAACCACAAAGACACATGTACAGCACACAACCACAGCACACAACCACAACACACAACCACAACACACAACCACAAAGACACATGTAGAGCACACAACCACAAACACAACCACAAAGACACATGTACAGCACACAACCACAGCACACAACCACAACACACAACCACAACACAGGACCACAATCACAGCACACAACCCGAGGACACACAAACAAAGTCGAGAACCTCAAAGCACGCGACCATGGCAACATGCTTCTCACCATGGCATGAAAACAAATGATTGAAATGTCACGGTGGGGATTACTCGAATTAGAGTAGTTTTTTCTGTCAAGTTCACGCGACATGAATGTTACATGAGTCACTGTTGTGGCCTGCTGCAGACACTGGGCACCAAGAAGCAGTTGGAGGCTGAAGATCTCTACAAATTGAATGAGGCCAGTCCGAGCTGACTTTCATTTGAAGGCTCTTTGAAGACTTGTTTTTCGACCGCCATTGCTGTTTCCACTTTTTCTTTCGACCTTGGCCACAACAATACAATTGGGCAGGAACTTGTGCTTACAAACAAAAAGCTACGATAGATTCTGGCCATGGTTGCAGGGGTCTGAATCCTTCTTCTGACGGCCTAGAGTGCATCATAAGTATCCAGGGTGCACCTCTCCGCCAGAAAGACCAGGCCACCTTCAATGTACCGGAGGAGGAAAGCATCGACGAAAAGATGGCTACCAAGTGCCTTGAATGACAAGATGCAACATCTTGGTGAAAACATTTAGCAGATTCCAGCAGATGAGAATACAGTATACCGTATACTGTATACCATATACGTGCGCTTAGAGCCAGAGTCAGACGAGTCAGAGCTGGGTGCCAAGGCTTTTCGCAGCAGTAGAGAAAACAGTGGCCGCATACACAGCTGGCAGGCTTGGCTTAGCTTTTGCTTATGTAGCCTTGTTTCTGAATCCGTTTTTCTGAGCTTGCGACTCGATTTCGATGCGTCTCTGGCTCGAATGATATGCAGTTCTTTGTACTTCAGAACAGGTATGATAAGGAGGATTCCAACTTCTTCTACGACTACGTTGCCCTGTTGGGCACGATGCAGCCAGGGCCCATGTCATCCTTTGCCAGATTTCGGCAAGCAAACTGGTGAACACAGCATCCAACTGGCATTGGTCTTTCATGACCGTGATAGCAGTCAAATGGTTAAACAATGATAATTTGTTTGATTATGACGGGGTGAGGTTAGAGGTGCAAAGGCAATGGGTCTACGAACGTCCTTTTACAAGCCCCAAAAATTAAAGTCATGAAGTCATCAGAGAACACATCTTTTTGCAATGCTCATTGTTGCAATGGTTTTCCTTTTCGGCCTGAAGCCTGTCAGGAATCAGCACTTCTTCACCGGAAAGCAGCACCAAATGATGATCTCATGGCTCAAGGATTATCCGTTTTTTTGGTACAGTTTTTTTTTTTTGTGTGTTTTTTTAGAGTTTGCTGACAGGCTAGTCTGACTTGTTTCTTGCGAACAAAGCGATGTTAAAGGAAAAAAGTGTGGTTTAGCTGACATGCACTGTCAAGAAGGCCTTCTCTGGAAGCAACTGACTCAATCCAGGAACAAACTTTGGATCCATGCAAACACAAGACAGGGATAGTGTGCAATATCACGGTAATGAATATATCAACAGATAAACACACAGAGGATTTCACTGGATTGACATGTAGATGGTGGTTGAAACACATGAAGGCATTTGCACATGTACCGTGCTGAGGCCAAAACGCAGGCACAAACAGAGTGTGCGCCATTTTTCATGGTAGCGGAGCTCTGTGGGCAGTCCCCACAACTGTCAGGGAAACCCTTTTGGAGATTCTAGGATTCTAGGAAACCACCAGGGGATATATAAACGGTCTGCTGAAAACCCGAGCAGTATTTGATAACCAAGTTTCTCCAAGCTGCGAGCCTCCTGAAAAAGCCTCACTGATAGAGGGTCTTCACACACACTGTCCACACATATGTGCGCACAAGACATATCCAGATATCAGGCCGGACCTACAAGAACAGGCTTCAGGTTTCAGAATGTCCCCACCCGCAGCAGCTAACTTGGCAGCAGGATGCTTTGGGTGGTGATGGAGAGAAGCAAAAGGGCAACTCCAAGGCCTCGTTCAACCAACGAGTCACATATTTGCTGAGTATCAAGCATCAGATTGATCGAGAAGGGGCAGATACAGTAGAAGAGTTGTTTGAAAACAAGATTCTTTTTGATCAACAGGCCACTCGGTGTTTGTCACGTTTGCCCACACGATTGATGTTCGAGAACACCATTTTGCTTGAAACAATTTGGTAGGTCCTAGTAGGTGCACAGGTCGAAGCGATTCCAGCATGTTCGAGTTGCCTTCAAGGTGGTCGCGAGGCTGGAAGAGGAGCATCGGAAGCTCCAGGAGGCACAGAGCTCAAGTGGAACAGGGTTTCAAGTTTGTTTTCAACATCTAGGAACCAAACGCATAGAAACGTGAAGTATCCTGTGTCCAATAGCTAGTAGCGGCTAGTTGCCCTCACCCTTGCTTATATAATTTGTTGGAAATGCATGAGAGACCAAACCCAGAGACATGCACACTTTATTTTTAGGATGTGCATGACACAACACAAATCAAGAAATTGTACCGGTACCGATGGTCCATTTTGAGGTCCAATTCCTATCAGGTGAAAACGACACGTCCCGCTTTTCATAATAAAGCAGGCACAGGTGAAAAAATCCAGTGGAAACGAACCTCAAAGAGATCTGATCGGAGATCCAAAGGGTTCCATCGCTTTGTCCCGGTTTGTGGCCACCGCCTGGAAGGAAATGAACAAACTCAAAGACTTGTCAAGTGTCGGGAACTTTGTGAGACTGGACATGGATGCATGACAGAGATTGCAAGTTTGAGTGTGTCATGAGCTTGTGCACTGCAGTCAAGAACAGGTCCAACGACCACATCGAATCGCCTGAACACATCGAAGTGTGCAAGAGCGTTGCTAATCTATTTCAGACTCCGCGCAGTTTGCTGCTCTGAGGCCGTTCAAACTCTCAGGAGTATACGACTGCCTGAGGCGGATGTTTTTTGTTCTGTGTACTGTATTGTCGTAAGATCCACGCTGCTTTCTTGTTTTGGATCGTTTTCATGGGAATGAACTTGGGATGGTGGCAGCGGTCACCAAATGTGACGATTCGATCATAGTTTTGCCAAGGCACAAGAAGGTGCTTCCAGCAGAATTGACGCTCACTGGACGACCGTTTTGTGATATTCGTAGCAGTGATGAGAATTATTATGAATTATTCTACCACTGATGCCATCACTTTGACTGATATCTTGCACAAATGCACTGTTGCACTTTCTTGCCGCAAACAACAAACAGATTCATGCCGCGCAGTAGTTGTCCAGAATGCAGAATGCCACTTACTTTTGAATGAGACTCTCCCACCAGGAAAGGGAAAAAAATCTGGCAAGGCTGGTTCTTCCACAATTGTTTCTTTTTTGCTTTGTGATGGTTCGAAAAACACATGTGGAATTGTGGGAACATGTTGAAGGAGTTGCGAGACTCCTCGCATATCTTCCGCAGTCTTGCCTTCGAGCTGGAATTTGTTAAGCACTGGTGGTGGCAGGGAGAAGGGAAGAAAGACAGAAAGGCAGGATATTCTCAGGGTAGCCTCCCCATCCTTTTAAGCGCCGTCACTCGAAGGGATGGTGACTGGCCCAACGATCAGTTTACTTTTTGGCCCCAACACGCCTTGTATGCTTGAATTTGTGAGTACGGCAAGAGCAAGAAAGGGTTGAACACAAGTTTTCACCTGCGATCTTTTTGAACCAGTTGGTATGAGCTTGTGCTTTGAAGAGAGCCTCATACTCTCCTGAAATAGCTTAAGCCAGGAGGAAGGTACCGATGATCCTGCCCGAAAAGAGCTGAAGGCACAAGTGAATGCTGCTGGACGGGTTTGCAACCCGGTGCAGACATGTTTCAACTGGACGGCAATACCGGCTGCATGACTTGGTGCTCACTGAGGCCTTAGCTAAAAAGAAGCGTGAGGTCATTGACAAGTACGGTGTGGAAGCGCAGCCCAGTTGTTGCCAACTGGGCATAGAAAACTGGTTGGTTGTCTCTCGAAAACAGCACCTGAGGCCAGTGAGGCCTTGGACCACGAAGAGGTCAATCCCTATTTGCAGCGCCTTAAGGAGCCAGTTGTCTGGAGAGATGTCCAATGACAAGCCATGCCACCTCCATTGAACGGTAGATTCTCAACACGATGCCCGCCCCAGCCATGAATGTCCAGCGGCAGTCTTTCAACCTTTGAGGTCATGTTTTAAGCAGCAAACCAAGGTACCTGGAAAGCAAGCCGATGTTTGTTGTAACTACCAGTCCTTGAACGCACATGATACCTTCATTCACAGGGCAATATAACAACCACGTTACCAAGCAATGGATCATGGCACACTCTGTCACAAGGAGCTCAAAGAGCGCTACAATGCGATGAAGAAGCCGGAGGAGACGACACTGCAGACGACAGTCGAGATCAAGCGTTTCAGGGTCAAGTCTACCTCGACTGTTTGCCCAGGACACTTCACAACCTGAAGGTGCTTAGCCCACTTCAGGATCATTGCTTTGATGTGGGCAGGAAGCCGGTGCTGGCAAGCCAGCCAGCCACAGATGGGTTGGTTGATGTTCTGAGCCCAAAATTTACATACGAGCATTGAGGTGCAAGATGGGCTGGTATAGCACCGTTCGAGACATTTGTGGGGCTTGATTCTTGATCTGAATTGTTCGGAAGACACAATGCATGCGGCCAACTTCCGCCATGTTGAATGCCCGCCTTTCAGAGCATCCGAGGGATCACCCCTCATGTACATAGCCTGCTGTGATCTGGGGACCTCCGGGGTGGCATCTTTAGATCCAAAGCAAACTTCCGGCATGGGTTGCATTGGGTTGCCACCTTTTTAATGACAAACATTCAAAATTAAGATGGTGAACTTAAGTTTTCAGTTTTGGGACTTGGATTGTGCAGGCAGATTGAGCATTCCTCCAGCCAATATTGCGAGGATCGCATGTTAGGATTGAGGTCTTCAAGACATGCTATCTTAAATGGGCAAAAGAGTCTTGGAATTTGCATGCTTTGGGCTTGGACATTATAATGCATTGGCGCAGACAATTAAATATACTCAGTCGGCACTGCCAGATTTCTAGGCACACCTCTGCAACGACCTGCACACTGCACCCACGGGACAAATTGTGGACAAGCCAAAGAGTTGACCTGCTGGTCGGAAAGACGTCATCTGATACATTGTTCATGGATGTTCACATCTAATCTCAGCACTGCTTGAAAAGTAAGGGAGAGCTTTTGTGGCTCAAGACTTTGAATCTTCTTCCACTGCTCTACAGCTCTACGCTCCGCTTTGTATCATGGACAATGCACAATACCAAGACATGGGATCAGGTGCCACGTTCCGTCGCACGGCAAGGGAATCGACTATTCGTGCCAACATGTTTGCAATCGAATGTGCTGCTGTGCTAATTCTCTACTGGTACTTTCTGCAGTCATACGTGAGTTGGAAACGGTGCAGCCTGTTACTGCTTTTTGGCATTGTTTACATGGCTCGCTTGAATATCATGGCTCGGTGGCTTCTGCCTCGTGAGTTGGCAATGGAAGAGTTGACAGTGGTCATTGCGTGGATTGCTTGTATTCTGTCTTCAATCAGCATTGGGGCTGCCTGCCGGGGCGAGATTAGCTTTCTCCAGTTTTGGCTTGCTCTTGTTTTATATAGCTTTGGTTCCTGGTTAAATAGCTGGTCTGAGTTGCAACGCAAATGGTGGAAGGCCAAGCCAGAGAACAAGGGCCGCTGCTACACACTTGGCTTGTTTGCTTGGAGCCGAAACATCAACTACTTTGGAGACGTGATTCTATTTGCGGGGTGGGCCATCGCCTCGGATTGCTGGTGGAATGTCTGAGTTCCTGTTGCCATGGGTGCGATGTTTTACTTCTGTCATATTCCCGATAAGGAAGCCTACCTCTCAGAACGCTACAAGTCGGAGTGGCCAGGATACGTTTCAAGTACAAAGTCCTTTATTCCTTTCGTATGTTAAGCTTTCAACCGGATGAGACTGCAAATCGAGAGGATCATTCACTCAGCCTGAGCTTGTGGTTGCAAAAGCTGCAGTCCCTTAGTTGACCACTGCTACCTGATATATACAGTGATTCCTTGTCTTTGTGGTCCCTGCTGAATCCCTGTCACAAAGCTACTACGCCCAGAGATGCTGAGCGATGCTGAGCCTTTAGCTCAGGAGCTTAGCTTTGCCTCCTTTTTTGACGTTCAATCAAGCCAAAGACCGCTAATCTGGTTTGTAGTTGAGACACATGGTGACATATACACACAGAGACAAATCAAGACAAGCTACATTGAAGGAACGTCTCGATCCAGCAGCCAGGGCCATCGAAGCAGAGATTGATTTTTTTAGGCCACAAGCACAGAGATTCAGAAGAATAATTTGCTATTAGGAACAATAAGCTACTAGGGGCTCCTGGCATCGCTACTAGGAGCAAGGACGCTACTAGGGGCTCCTGGCCGTAGTACTAGGACCTAGGAGCAAGAAGCTATTAGGCCATAAGCACATAGATGCAGAAGAATGATGCTATGCCATGATTGGCCGGCTGAACGAACCCCTTGTGTTTGGGCGCAGCATCGGACGCTGGTCGAGGCTTGACCGTCACAAAGGTCATTCTATATTGAATAACCAAGTCACTGACAGGACCTCAATAAGATACAGTACTTTAAGATACATTTCCATTGTTTGTGGTCGATGTTGTATCGTTGCTAAAAAAGAACCCCACAATCTATTACTGGCGGTCATCAAGATTTGCCTCTCTATTTTAGTTTTATGATGGCCAGAGCAGTAGCTTTGCATGGGTTGCTTCACCGTATTTGGTTTGTTCTGGCAAGGCCCTTGCAAGAAGTCTCTCCACTGCCGACCCTGCTGGAAGCTCTGACGGACCCGTTTTGGTTCCAAAATTCTCAACAGCTTTAGCAATTCGGAATTCGTCTGGCATTGCCAATTTAGAACACTCCGCATTCAGACGCTTTCTGGTGAAACCTTTATACTTCCGCACGTTTCCATTGTGTTCTGGTCCATGCAGGGTCCAGACTCAGGCAATGGATCACAAGTGCAGATGACCCGCGGATGGTGATTTACCGCCACAAAGATCGAAGGCAAGGCTTTTTGGCCTCGACAAAAGCACACAAACAGTTTGGCTTCGCTGTGCAAATCAATGGCTTCGTTTCTCTACAATTGGCAGACCTTCGTGTAAACAAAGTCCGAGGAACCATGCTGAGTTTGAACGGCAAGTGCGAGACATCGCTGGCCGATTGCTGCACAAAGAGGCCAACTTCCAGTGTCTACTTACCTTCTTGTCCTTGTTTCTTCTCATTTGGATGAGCGTAGAATGCTTCTCCCAGAGGGTGAAAGGTCAGAGCTCACGGAGTCTCAAGGAGAAAGATGTGCCTTTGGCCTTCGGCAGAGATATCACTGCCTGCTCTCAGTATCCCTCAGTATCCTTCAGTATCCAGGCTCGGCTAATGGATGGAAACCTGTGAGAGCAGGCTGCTGCGATGCCTCGATCGTGGCGACAACTGCCATGCCCAGTGCCCTGCTTGCATCAGCGCTTGCAACTGTGAAGAAATTGAATAAATACAAGTGTCAATGCCCTCAGATTTGTCACCCAAGGCTGTTCGCTCTAGCTCTAACCCCCTGCAAAGAGTATTTGGAAGGATGAGTGGCCAAGAGATAAGTATGGGATGGAACTTGGAATTAGGTGTTGGACTCGATCCAAGCAGAATCACTTGACTAGAGGTTTAGGGCCCGAACACCATCTTGAGATACCCACACAAGCACACAACGGCTAGAGCAGTTCTCTTCAATTTCTGTGAGCTTGGGTTGCACAAAGGCTTGAGCACATGTATCCAAGAAGTTTGCGTCTCCAGCGCACTTTTGAGCTTTTGCACAAGAGTTTGTAGGACTTAGCATTATTAGGACCTGGGGCCAGGACCTATGCAACAGATCTGAGGCTCCGATAAACTATATATATATATAAGTTGATGAAACTCCAGATGCAGCCAGCTGTCGATGTGTCGATCGACCACACTTCATTTTCTTCTTCTTTGTGGCATCGACAAGCCGTTGAGGAGAGCTTCCGACCATCCGCTTTCAAAACAGGGACATCATGCTAAAGAGGGACGTCATGCTAATTCTGCTGTAGATGGATGCATTATAATGGTTATTTTATGTTGCTGGTGGCATGAATGCTTGCCGCAGAGAAAGAGACATCGTTTCTTGGTTCTTGAGGTCCTCCAAAGAAAGATCGGACGGAATGCCAGCCAACATACCACTTACTTTAAAGGTGAATCCACCTTCATGACTCTCTTTGGGGCGCATGAGCAGATGATGAGGTAAAGGTTCACTATAGCTGGGATTGCCTGCAGCGCTTACTGGATGCTCGGAGAGACGGGCGAGAGGTGAAGGCTGCGTTCTTGGTTTTTGATGAAGGCTTGAAGCCCCTGATGAACCTTTCTTGTGCCAATAATATGTGATATGCCTCCTTGCATCTACAGTCTATGGTTTGCACGACAATTAGGTTCAACAGGAAGAACATGTTCGCAGAGGCTTGCTGCTGACATACGGTAGAGAACCTGCGGATACAACGGAACTCCTAGGCACATACTCCATTTGTAGCCAAACGTTATGCAGCACCTGATCTTGAAAGTGGAAGGTGGAGTCTGTCCTTCTTAGCAACGATGTGGATGATGAGCAGAGGAAACTGGCAGGACAGTGCTGTGAACAGGTCTTGGTAGCTGAAACATGGCGAATATTAGCGAGTAGGAATCCTTTCTTGTTCTTCTCGTCTTCACCCTAGAGGTCTTGCGGAAGGCTTTCAGGATGCGATCTGATTGGACAACCAGAGAGAAGACGGGGGGTGTGATTTGTATGAGAGCACTCGTTTTGGGCTGTTCCTTTCTTCTTGCCCAGGATAGGGAGCTCATTGAGGACGGAATGTGGAATGTGGGAGTAGCAGTGATGTGCGATCGTGTCTGCACTGACGGATTGAATGTTTCTCAAGTAGAAGAGCGCGATGATGATGATGATGATGAATATCAAAACAGTGTGACACAGCTTGGCAGTGGAAATCATCCACAGTTTCCTCACTTCTTTGAGTTGTGTTGCCTCCAACAGGCAGAGTTTGCCTTTGAAGGAACCACTCAGAGGCGTTCCTCGATGGTGTTTGAGTGGGTGGGTGGATGAGAGAAGAAGACCATGATGCACTTGGCCCATTGGTAAAGTAGTCAGTTATTAGCTTCTTGTCCCGCCCCGAGAATCTGAGGGCCTGGTGAGTCTGGTGTTTGGAAGTTCGTTATACACTTTAAAGATGCTCCAAGGGCTTCAGGCTGTTCAGGATGGAATTGAATTGATACCTGAGAAATTCATAGGTGGAATATTTGGTCAGATCACCACAGGTCATTCTCGGGTTCTGCCATTCCAAGACCTCCTTTGCAGTGCTTCCTTTGGCATCACTCAATCGCTTACGGACCATTGCCATGCGTTGATTCTATTTGACTAAGAAGGTTGAGCTAATTGATGGCCTGTGCACAAGTGCCGATTTGGTTTTGTCATTCCCAAGGCTCGGTGAATTATGTGGTCGCCTACCCTAAGCCGCAGCCGATTGCTTTGGCGAGGTTCCTTGGTGGGCTTCTTTGATGTGCAGAGAGGAAGATTAATATAAAGCCTTCTGAGTTGCCCACACAGTGAGCTAGAGAGAGGCACTCATGAGTTTTTTGCACTAACATCACATCTGACTAAGACTGGGAATGGCACAGGACATGGCAGAGGATATCAGCGCCGTTAGAGTAACATGGCGTTCTGAAAGCAGTTTTTCAGTCAGCAAGCTTGCCTCGAAAACCCTGGCCACTCCAGGTTACCTGTCCTCGTCCTTGATGGCCTGGGCGCAGCGCAAAACATTGGCCAGATACTACGAACTGCCTTTCATTTTGGCAACTTGGCTCATTCAGAATCTAACTTTGCCCAATCTCTTCCGAGACTTTGTGTTGTTGGTTTAGCATGTGCTTGGCAGCTTGATGCCTCTACATTCTTTCATGCATAGTACCATACAGTGCCCTCATCCAAACTTACACTTTTCCCTTCTTGGCATTTTCGTTGCCTCCGATTGTTTTTGACAATTTGAGTTGCTCGCTGGAAGAATTGAACACACTGAGGTGTAACATCAATTCTGGCTTCGACTCTCAGCGAAAAATGAGAGTGTGGACTACTGTATATGCAGCAACGCGACTTTATTGAGTTCCATCGTGAGGTGCTTTTCATGAAAGTGCGCTAATAACGCAACTAGAGTTTGCATAGAGAGGAACAAAAAGTAAGGCTCCCTTTGCTAAGGCCCCTTTGAAAGGGCCTTATTAAAGAGGCCCTTATCCTTTTTCCTCTCACCATGCACCTTTTGAGGTGGATACTTCCTTGCGAGTTTGTCCAGTTTGTGCGGAGTTGTTTTTCTTGCGGATCATTTGCTTTTCTTTGTGCTGTGTCATTTTTGTTGGGTGCTATATTTCAACAAACACATTTCTCATAACATGGTGGCCTTTCAATTGGTGTGGGGCCGGTGGCTTGTCCATTTTCCCAGCTGCAGCTACACCAAAAACTATGAGGTGATTTCACATTTGGTTCACTTTTTTGATGTGCGCTTGACCACCTTCTCCAAGGCGCTCTGTTTGGAACAGCCTTGGGGGCCGGGCATGTCGTGTCTCGATGGGATGGCCCTGAGCTTAGAGAGGTGAGGATGGGAGTGGACGCGGAGGAAAACCCTAGTGACCCTAGTGGAGGCTCACAATAGCCATGCGCTTCTAGCTACTAGGAGGCTCTACAAAATCAACAGGTTTTGGCCATATCTTTGAAAAGATCCTTCAGTATCCTTCAACATCACTACTCTTTCGTATTCTTTCATGCCCATTCCACCACATTGAGCATCCAACAAAAATATTGGAGTATTAAATATGATTGAATCTGTAGCACAACCAACATGACGGTCATTCTTGTATACACGCACCGCAACACACAAGGCCTCAAACGTTTTTGAAAACGCGCGACTTTTGCCTTTCATGGTAGCGGAGTCCTGGCCGTAAGAGCCGGGGCTCCCGCACACGTGCACGACGACGAGACCTACCTCGACCTCTTCACGATCGAGCTGGAGTGGAGTGTGGCTGAGTGAGCTGCTGATCCTGGCCTGTTTGGTCAGCGGCTTTTCGGTGGGTGGCTTGCACCAGAAGACTTGCTTCTATCACACTGGTGCAGGACCAGCAGGCCCAGTGAAGATCAAGAGAAGAACCTTTCACAGCATCTTTGTGGAAGCGGACGACTACATTGGCAAGCTCAAGTGGGTGAAGAGCGAACGAGCTGCAGAGGCAACCCTCTTGGTGAGGGAGAAGAAGCCAAAGAAGAAGAGAAAGAGGGATTGTCGAGAGCTCATGGTGTTTGTTCCTGCGAGCTGGCAGTTCCTGGACAAGCTTGAAGCAACAAGAGAGGATTTAGAGGAAGGTCAGATTGGTGCATTATTGAGCCATTGGAAGTTTTGGGAAGTCCTGAACTACAGTGGCATACCATTCGAAGTTGAGCAAGACGGTGCACACCTTACCTCCAAGAGCTACTATCCGAAAGCATTACAACTGCAGAGGATGGCAGACGAAAGTTTGAGGTTGGTGGCAGCAGCCTTGGAGAAGTTGAGTGTGAACCAGGCCTCACAATCCTGGTCAAGACATTTGAAGCCTCGTGATGCGTTCAAACCTGACACAAGGGACAATGAATTGAAGATGTGGAGCGATTGGAAGTTTGCACTTTGCAGCTACATTCGAGGAATAGATCCGGCAATGGCAGCAGCTATGGACGTGGTGGAAAAGAAGGTCAACAGCGACTACACCTTCAACGACATGACAGATGAGATGAAGACCATGCTGGTGAAGCACATCAAACAGGAGAATGGGTTCGGTGCCTGGCAATTGTTGTTGAAGGAAATGCAACCAGCCACAAGAGCAAGGAGCCTTGCTTTGTTGACCCAACTCTCAAGAGTGCAGTTTGCTGAGGGCAAATCATTGAGTGAGCAATTCCCTCAGTACGAAGCCATTGTGACGGAATATGAGCGCATCAGTGGACATGTCTATGCTGATGACGCCAAGGTGGCTTCGATTCTACAGGGATGCCCTGCCTACATGAGACAGCGCCTTCAATTGTGGGTTGATGATCACGCGACCTACGATTCACTGAAGGCAAAGGTCATGCAGCTGGAGTCCCTTGCTACAAAGTGGGATTCGAGCAACAGCCTAGCCCTTCCCACAAGATCAAGTGCAGATGAGAGCACGCCAATGGAGGTGGACTACATTGGAAAGTCCTACGACAAAGGAAAGAAAGGTGGGAAGAAGGGCAAAGATGCAAAAGGCAAGGCAAAAGGAAAGGACAAAGGGAAGACGAAGCAAGAAGGGAAAGGACTATGGAAGTTCTTTGACAAAGGCAAGAATGCATGGGAGAAAGGCCAAGGAAAGAAAGGAAAGAACAATGAGAAAGGAGCGAAAGGGAAGACAGGAGGATGCAGCAAACAAGGCCATGTGGCCAAAGAGTGTTGGAAGCCAGCAGGTGGAGGAGAACTCTGGGGGAGCTTCGAGTTCATCAGCAGGTCCAGCAAAGTTGACAAGAGAGACCACGCAGGTGAAGATGGAGACAACTTGAGAACGTGGAGGACTATGTCAGTTTGGGAGATAAAGCTTTCAGAAGAATCACCACTGATCAGAATCCACAGAGGACGTTGAGTTTCTTCTCACCAAGCCGTCTCAAAGGTTACTGGGAGCAGGACGCAGAGGTACCAGTGTTCCCATATCCAGAACCTGAAGGAGAGATCAAGCGCCACGAATGGTCAGAGGAGGAGCAAGAAGGACCAGAGGAGCTTGAAGAACAGTGGGAAGCCCAAGACATTGAGGAGCTCGTCCTTGCAGAGAAGAAGGATGAAGTTGAACTTGATGAAGTGGTGTCCAATGAGAAGACAACAGTGAAGTGAAGGAGCTTCAAATGGCATGTACAGAGAGAGGGCTACCCTACGCAGGAAGCAAGAAGAGGATATTGGCTCGATCTTGATCGCCTTCAAGATCGATTTAGAGAACAAGCTACAGCCGAGCATCGCCAACAAGCTCTTCAACGAGTACCAAACGAAGCCCGTGGGGCAGCCAAAATTGCCATCATTGAACATTTTGTCACACGCTGGCCTTATGCGCCATGGTGCCAGGCGTGCGTGCGAGCCGAGCGAAGGAAGAGAAGCGCGTATCAGAGGCAAAGAAGCCAGAACTGGGAAAGAATGTCATCGAGCTCGACTTCTTCTACGCCTACACGGGGGAAGAGAGGAGAATGGAAGATCAAAAGGCGCCTGACAAGGTTCAAGAACGACAGGACCAGTTCGGCGCATGCCTCATCATGGCCTCGAGTGAGACAAAGGCAATTCATGTGGTGCCAGCGCAAAGCAAAGGTACTGCAAGCTTGAAGCGCGGTCATCAGATTCACTCTGGAAAATGCATCTCGGGACGCGTGCATTTTGCAGGCAGACTCCGAGAAGGCAACGAGACAGATCTTGAGGGCAGTGCAGCAAGTGAGGAAAGTCATGAACCTCGAGACAGAGATCCGGTTGACAGGACCAGGACAACGCCAGTCAAATGGTTTGGCAGAGAGAGCAGTACAAACTGTGAGACGCCTAGCCGACTGTCTTCGAGCTTTTGCAGCATGATGAAGGTGATCGATTCCATTGGTGAGAGAGTGGGTCGAGAGGAGTACAAGGACATCGAGTAGCGGTGCCGGGTCGGGGGGGGCGCGGGGAAGCTGCTGGGGGGTGGGGGGGACCTGCGTGACGCCTGCGTGTGGGACTTTTGCTGCTGATGGCAAGCATGGACACTGTCGCGGGAGAACCTATGGACTATGAGACTGAGCTTAATGCATACAAGTTCGAATGGTGGGCACTCATTTTGTGTGCCTTGATTGGGGCCTTGAACGTATTGCATTGGCTTCGGTGCACTGTGGTGAAGTTCATGAAGAACGTGTCACCTGGGAGAATGTCTATGGCACGATCAGGGAGATCGAAAAGCCAGAAGAACGAAGGTCAAGACACGACCAAGAAGTTCAAGTGACGCAATGGCTGGATGTCAGCCTGTGGAAGAAGTATGAGGAACAAATCCAAGACATGGCAGGCAAACGGCGTGCGTGAAGAGCTGTTGAGGGCCGAGGGAATGATCGAAGATTAGAAAGTGGATTTGGAAATGGCCCGACAGCAGAGAGATGTAAACCTACAGATGTACCAGCTGGTGGAGAAGAGTTCCATCAAGCTTGAGAAGAATTTTTTGAATTTCAGGAAATGTTTCAGTGGAAGGGTCATCCATTTCGATGTGCAGTGCCCCCACTGGCGCGATGCAAAATGCATCGAGATGCGCAAGGTATGCAAGGGTGAAGAGGCCGTGATTGAATCTGTAGCACAACCAACACACGCACCGCAACACACAAGGCCTCAAGCGTGTTTGAAAACGCGCGACTTTTGTTTTTCAAAACATGTAAGAGGCGTCTTCTTGTGCTTTTGAGAGGCGAAGAAATCCTTGGCAACCGATAGGGGACGACCCAGCACCGATACCCCGATACCTACCAAGATTGTTTAGGTTAGGATTGGTACTTTGATGGCTGTACATTGGAATCCAAGGTGCTTTTCAATAGGAGCAGTCCTGAACCTGAGTGGGTTACATAGTAAGGTTTAGTAAGGGCTATCGCACCATTGTCAAGTGACCCTGCCGTGCTGAAAACAAATGTATTGTCTCTGGAAGTTTGTGGATTTTGAGGAAGCTCGCACGGACAGCTCAATTGATACTAACCGATGCCCTTGCTTGCAGGCTTACATGCTTTGGTGCCCCTTGTCCCATTTGATCATTGCGGGTGCCCACGCAGGTCTGTCAAGGGTTGAGGTCAAGGCCTTATGGCTATGATCTAGTGAAGTATCTGTTCATTCCAGCCGAAGAAAAGAGGTGCTCAAGAGTTTCGCATGGTAGCGGAGCTGGACCGCTTGACCAACCAGCAGCCATGGCATGAGGGCTAGGTGGACACCGACTCCCCAGCCCTTAGAGCAAGAGCGCTCAGCCGGAGTGGTCGTGCTCGGTGAAGCACGGTGGGTACATTGGCGTTGGGTTGGGTTGCAAACGTTGATTGTATTGGTTGTGTTGGTTGGGATTGTTTTCAGTCTTGACTATTTGGTCATGGCGACCGATGGTGTACAGCCAGATCTTGCAGCCTTGACTTCGGCCTTACAACAGATGCTTCAGGAACAGCAACAGCAGAGAGCCCAGATCGAGTCATTGAGCCAAGCAGTTCAGGGTACTGGGTCGGCAGTTCAAGCTACACAGGCTGTTACAGAGCAGGTTGTGACGGAGGTGGTATCTCAGGTGCAAGCGGGATTTCATCATGAGCAGCAACAGAGTCAGGAGCAGTTGACCCAAGTTGGAACTATCTTGACAACATTGCAGGATCAGATGCAACAGATGGGTCAAGCAATCCAGGTGCAACAGCAACAAGCTCAGTTGGCGACAGGTTTGAATACCGCTCCAAATCCTCCGGCATCGCAAGGACAACAGACCCCAGGAGGAGGTGGCTCACCCGTGCATCACCCCCCTCCTGTGCATGCCGGTGTGCCTGCAGCCGGGTCACAGGTTGCTGGAGGGATGACGGGGGCAGCGGCATCTGGGTTGGGAGG